TCAAAAAATTGTTTCATCTTTACATGCTCACTTTGGAGGTTGGTTGGCCGCATCTTGATATGCCTTAATGTGACAGCGTGATGCTGTTAGTGAGTTTTCACAGGTGCTTACCAATACTTGGCTGTGTAGCCGCGCGATGCGGTTCCAGTCCAGGCCCACAAATTGACCCTTGCTCACCATAGAGTCTCCAGTAGCTCAGTGGTTAGAGCATCCGACTAGATCACGGAGGGTCGTGGGTTCAAGTCCCATCTGGGGCTCGGATTTTTTCTATTACACTAAAAAAAATTGTTTCATCTTTACATGCTCAAAAAAAACATTGTGGGTATTATTTGCCATCACAATGTCCACAGTGGTTGCCCTTTTTCATCTCTGGAATTTTCCTTTTGTTTTCAATTTTGTTATATTCAAAGCAGTTTTTATAACCAGGAGATTCTGTAGTTGTTGTTGTTCTGCTAATCATAAAATTTTACTTCTCAAAGCGAAAAATTAGTTTGTTGATATTCAATAGGATAATGATCACCCAATACAAAATGTGAAACACAAATTGATAATAAAGTTGTTCTTCTTTTTTGTGTGTGTGTGTGTGTGTGTTGGTTAGGTTTTTTGTTTGTCTGTTTTTTCCAACAACTCCATTTTATAGTTTATTTACCTTTTGTATATAATTCATTATCAATAAAAGTGATTATTTGTTTTCTGACTCCTCAGGCTTCTCTGAGTAAGTTCAGGAATAACCTTGCTTCCCATTTTCTTTTCACTGTTTTGCAGATAGTCTATGAATTCTTCCTTCGGTTTCTGGAGTCTGCTGAGTTTCAACCCACCATTGCTAAGAAACACATTGATCAGAAGTTTGTTCTACAGGTAAAACTCCTTTACTTCAACTTTTCTCACTGTCTTCTGTACAGATCTTATGATTTCAGTGCGGAGGACATGGTGTCATTTCAACAATCTCCCTGTTGATATTTTTCTCTCCTCTTGTTACCTGTCTGGTTTATCACATAATGATATTGTAAGGAGAAAGTGCACTTTAGTCTTGTCGAGAATGACAGGGCACAGACAACTCATTTTGACTTGCATACAGACCTCAAGCAATACTACTGAATAAAGATGTTAAAGAAGCTCTGGAGGCATTATGTCAGTTGAAATTCATTAGCAATTGATGGGTTCAGGCTTATTTAAGGTTATCATATATCAAAAGCAATCCTGTAGCAGGAGCTACCCAAGAAGAAACCTCAGACTGGCACCAGCATACTTGAAAGATACTGGTAGAAAAGTGCTAGGGCAACTAGATATTAGCCAATCCAAGCGACAGTAAAGCTTATGAATGATCAGCAGTGCTTATCACAGAAAAAAGACAGTAATTTCTTTGGGACTCTCCTTAAAAATTTCCCCTCATCGAAAACAGCAGCTGTTGACAACATTGACTTGAGGTTGAGCTTGGCTCAATTACATTACTCTCAATTTCTTATAACTTTGCAGACAGAGTTTTAATTACTGTTGAAAATATTCCAGTGATAGTATCTAATTTTTTCTTTATATTTTATTGCGGTAGCTTTTAGAACTCTTTGATAGTGAAGATCCTCGCGAAAGGGACTTCCTCAAGACTGTACTTCACAGGATATACGGGAAGTTCCTTGGACTCAGAGCATACATCAGAAGACACATCAATCATATATTTTTAAAGTATGTACCGGCAGAACTTAACTGGTTGTCAGTGAGCCAGACACTACAAATTAGAGATACAGTTCTGGCCTATAAATGTGCCAATAATTTATCACCCGACTACTTATGTAACAAGTTACAAAAACGCACCACCATACATGATTGAGCCACGTGGCATAGCAACAAACTCCAGATCCCTTTTTATAGGTCCGCGAATGGGCAACAAACCTTTACCTAAAGAGCAGTTTCAGTATTAAATTCCCTGAGTAGTGACCTAGTGAACTTGCCTTCAGTAAAGTCACTGAAACATTCTTTGAAGTACTCCCAAAGAGGGGCACATTAATAGTCTTTGTATGATACCCATTGGATATATACATACATACATTAGTTGAAGAATCAAAGAGGATGCATCGATTCTCTGTTACTCTGAGTTTCGCACCAAAGCACTCGAAAAATTCTGTCTGACGAGCGCTTCGGCGCGAAACTCAGAGTAACAGAGAATCGATGCGTCCTCTTTGATTCTTCAACTAATGTATACCCAACTCTGCTAATGCAGCATTGAGCACTTTATGACAAGGTAGGCTCTACCCTCACATTTATATATATATATATATATATTTCATTTTTATTACCCTATTTTAAGTTGTTCATTTGTGATTGTAAATTGTGTACCCATTGTCAATAGTTGCTGAAAAGCCTGTACAGGAGTAATTATTAAAGTTCATTCATTCATTCACATGCTTTTTTGTTTTTTCTTGTTGGTTTTTTAAATTAATTTATCATGAAGTGTAGTGTTTTGTTATTTCTTGTAAAGGGTTGGTGAATTTGATTTATTTGGTGCTGCAGATTTGTTTACGAGACTGAACATTTCAATGGGGTTGGAGAACTGCTTGAAATCTTAGGAAGGTGAGTTTTGATGAGTACTCATGTCTGTGCATCCTTTAGAATGCAGCATTTCCCCTCTTTTTTTTTTCTCTCTTTTTTTTAATTTTTTAATTTTCCAATGTGTTACAGATTGCTTGCAACACTCTTGTCATTGACTGAAGTTTTCAGATGTATGACAGAAACATCATTTTAGAAGAGATGGTGTTATGAAGAGGTTATATGCGATAGAAAAAAAATGAATTTGTCCCAATGGAAATGGATGGTAGAGTTAGATTTGGCAAGATTAGATTAATTGAAAATCACAAGTTATTTATAGCATCATAAACATGGTATGCATCACCTGATTGGCCAGTTCAGTGTCCAAGCAGATGCTTTATCAAGTTATAGAGCCCATGTGTAACTAGTTATGTCATTGTAGCAATAGAAGCCACTTGGGATGTTGGAAGAACACCAGGAAAGTTTAGAAATCACAAGCTGAAAACAAGTGATTTATAAGCCTTCCTGATGTTCTCCTCATGAAGGGCCCAGAAAAAGAGGTTCTATTGCTTAAATAGAAATCAGTGAAATAAAGATCCTCTGTGCTTGTGTTTCAGCATCATTAATGGATTTGCACTCCCTCTCAAGTCTGAACACAAGATGTTCTTAAACCGTGTGTTGATTCCTCTACACAAAGTCAAGTGTTTGGGCCTCTACCATGCACAGGTGAGAAGACATTCAGGGAACAATGAACAGATGCCTAAAAATTGATATTGATTCCTTGTCACAGAGTGTGGACAAATGATGAACATTTTTTCCTGAATTTGTTACACAGTTGCTTGTAAATCGGTGCTTCTTCTCTGCATTAAGTGCTTTAACAAAAAAGAATTACCTGGTCATATATGAGCATGATGTAACTGTCTATCAGTAATTGACTTGTATCATTAACATTTCCAGCGGCTAGAACATCGCACATGTGATAGTTCAATTTTAAAAAAAAGTCAGCCTGTTTGTTGATATACCCTTTTGGTTATTGTTACTTATGTTTCATGCTCATCTGTTTGTTACAGTTAGCATACTGTGTTGTTCAGTTTCTGGAAAAGGATGCCACACTTACAGAAAATGTGAGTATTTTAAAATAAGAATTTTTTTTTTGCTCCTGTTTTCTGAGATAATGCCCTTTTCAATGACATGTGACCAAAGGTAACAATAAACTCTTATAGGTGAGCTCTCAGGAGAAAATTTGGAGAGTTCACTCTTTAGCATGACACTTTGGCTCTCAAAGTGTCTCCACCCTCCCCCCCAGGAGTAATGATGTGTACCATAGCTGTCATGATACTTGACTAATTTGGGTTGGGGGGAGGGCAGGTACCTATATCTGTGATGGACAACAGAACAAGTGGCAATACTTTCAGTCACCTCTTGCTTTGGAAACAGGAAAAAGGTCTAGCCCTAATTGGTCTGTAGTCTTGTAAGAGACCCTGAATCAGTGTGCATATTCTCCATACTATTCTCCCTACGTTTCCCACAATGCTGACAAGGAGAATTTGTTTTAAGATCAGGAGCTTGATGGCGATTATTTCCCTTACTTTCACGACATCAGTGGTAAAATTAGATATGAGTCACTCTTAGGGGTTAAAGTGTTGGACATGTGTGTTTCTTTCAGGTTGTTTTAGGCTTACTAAAATACTGGCCCAAAACAAGCAGTCAAAAAGAGGTAAGGAATGCTTCCTCTGTGGGCAGAATCTTTTTCTATTTTCCTAACATCAACTAGGTTCTTTAAAGGAAGGTGGTTTAGTAATTGTTACCAGCAGTTTGGGTCGTTTGCTGAGCAGACTTTCCACTTTATATTGCATAAATTGTGAAAACTTTTGTCTGTCTCTTGGGCTTTTATAACGGTCTCCCAGCCTCCCTGGTGTGTCGATGAGGCCATGTAAACTCGGAATAAGTCCTCCTCTGCTTAACTTGTCATAATTTGGATGTATAAACAAAGTTGAATTGGTAAATTGGCCACCGTAACGATTACAAAAGCTGACGTTTCGAGCGTTAGCCCTTCGCTCCGGCGAATGTAAA